GGGGATCCTGTCTCAGAGAGCTGGACACTGTCAAGGCAGCTGGGCTCAGACCGAACCCCAGAGGGCCATGATGTTGCAGACATCCCCTCCTCTTCTCTCCCTGCCTTCCTGTGCAGATCTTCCCCTTGGCAACATCGGTGAGGCTTCCATTCATTCCCCTCTCTCTCTCCTCCTGTGTGTGTATGTGAGTGTCTGCGTGTGAGTGTCTATTTGTGTGTGCGTGCCTGTATCAGTGTGCGCGTCTGTATGAGTGTGCGCGCGCATGTGCGTGTGTTTGCGTGTGCGTGTGTGTGTTAAGGGCACAAGGGGGTGTTGAAGTGGCTAAGGCAAGGGGCAGGGAGGCCGAGGGTAGACGGCTGGGAGGGGAGCAATCTGTTACAAACCCAATACCCGCCCACCTCGCTTGCCGACCCCAGGCACACATCCGTCCCCCAAACCCCCTCCCCTCTCCCGAAATGAAGCAGGGTCCGGGAGGCCTTGGGGACTTGCCCCTGGAGCTTGGGGGGGGAAAACGTGGGTTGGGGGGGGGGGGTGTCAGTCTTCCCCGCTCAGGTCCGAGTTGGTGGGCATCATGGGGTCATCGATGAGGGAGTGTGAGTAGTCGCCTCTGTCGTCGGTGCTGTCGTAACCCTGAGACAGGCTGTCGTCGACCTCTCGCTCGGCCAGGCCGTAGGGCATGGAGCGGGCCTCCTGGCTCTTGCCCGGGTGGGCCAGGCCGGGCAGGGGAAGCTGTGGCAGGCCCACGCCGAAAGCCGGGGGCAGAAACATGCCGCCGTACACGTTGGACAGCACCAAAGAGTTAAGGCTCAGGCCGGTGCTGGCTGTGGGCTGGGGAGGTGTCGAGGGGACAACATCTACCCGGTCGGAGCAGGCAGCGGCACGTCCCCCCCCGCCGGCGTCGGCTCGGCTCCCTTCCCCAGGCAGACAGGAGCCAGGCTCCTTGCCCTCCAGGCTGGGGGGGTAGGAGACCAGGCCGGTGAGCTGCAGGTTCTTCTGGAATGACTGAAGACTGCCCACGTTCAACATGCCACTGGCCAGCAGTGAATTCACCTGCATGGCAGCTGCCAGGTGCTTGGGTCGCCGGCCCCTCTTCCTGCCTTCCTCTGGGACCACCGGGCCGGTCAGGATCCGATCATACATGGTCTCAGGGAGGTAACCCTGTAAGGGGCACGGGGTGTGGGGAGAAGACAGACCGTCACTAACACAGCTACACACCAGCGCCCCCCCCCC